TCCGGGCTGTAACACCCGGCGAGAGTGCCTAACTGCGTGCTGCAGCAGCTGTCATAGGTCCGGGCTGTAACACCCGGCGAGAGTGCCTAACTGCGATTTCTGGTGACCTATGGAACCAAACACGATGGGGCCACAACCGACCACGGCCGAGACAGGAGAGGAGTACAGGACATCGCCCGACCGAGCTCTGAGGGATCTGAAGGAACGAATTAGGCGGGACGCACCGCTGAGATGGGCTAACCAAACCAATGACGGAGAGCCCGATGTAATGGGCGAGCCGGTCGTGACGGAACCGCAGGAGGCACTGGAGACGGGAACCTCGAGCGGTCGACGAGAAGCGACGAGACGACGCTCCCCCGAGTATGAGCGGAGGGAGACCATAGCGGATAGACACAGATACGACTGGCGAGAGAGTTCGAGGGATTCCTATTGGAGGGACAAAGATAGAGACAGAGCGCCGCCCAGGCGAGTCTTCGACCCCCAGACAGGGGAGTCGCATCCGGTCCCTTACGAGAGCAAGGATCGCTATATTATTACGCACAAGGCCTCTGAGCCACCTACTTTTACGGGTTACGGCATCACATAATATCTGGAGAAGTGGGAGCTTCATGCAAGTCGGAGTCAGTGATCGGAGGAAGAGATTGTAGAGAACTTCCTATTTAATGTGGACCCAAGTCTCGGTAAGGAAGTTAAGGAAGCTCGTCCGAAGGATGGGAAATGGACTACGTACAAGAAGAACCTCGTTGAGCTTTACAAATTGGAGGATAACAAGTACTCCATCAAGGACCTTGAGACGATGACTTAAGATGAAGATGAGAGCGTACGGGCATTTGGGATGCGTTTCCAGAAGATTTCCGACGTGCTAATGAAGAAGGGGAAGATCTCAGAGGTCGAGCGCTGTACTATCTTCATCGGACACCTGTCCAAAGGAAGACAAAATAGTATACTTAGAGATCTTCCACGCGACAAGCTTGACTTCCCATAAGTCCTAAAGCTCGCGATAAAGGCAGAGGCAGATGACTACAAGGACTTGGTGTGGAGAGGGATGAGGAGACGTGACTTCTCCATCTACAAGGAGTATGCCACCGATAGATGTCTTGATTTCAAGAACCATCCTTGGTCGGAGAAGAATGAAGCCGTGGATGAAGAAGTGAAAGAGATAAGGGACATGGTAAAGGGATTGACAAGACAGGTTACAAAAATTGTAACCACCACAGGAGCCACGGCATACCGGGACAAGCCCGAAGGGCCCTATTCACTTCGCTGGGACCGGAGGAACACTGATTCCTGGAGGAGTGTAGAGGATAGAAATCCTCGAACGCTGGCTGATTATCGTACGAGGGAAAGGGAGAGAGACAATGAGCCATGGCGACATAGGGATGATGAGATAGACCGGGACCGCAGGACTCGCGAGATGTATGGACGTGCTAGGAGACTGGATGACTACTCGTGTAGCCCTCGCTATGAGCCTGACGGGGGTAGAAGCGACTCTCGAGGCCGATGGGAGTCGGATCAGGGTCGGGCGAGATGGATACAGGGATGGTAGATATGAGATATCGGACCGCGATGAACATAGAAACGACAGATATGAAAGGTCGGACTGAGACGGATACAGGGATGGCAGATATGCGAGATCGGACCGGGATGGATGTAGGGACGGAAGATATGAAAGGACGGATCGAGATGGATACAGAGGTGGCGGATATGAGAGAGGAGATCGAGACGGGGACCGACGAGACGACTCGTGCGGACGGTATGACCGCGGGTTATACACGAGAGAGCAGCGTGACGACTCGCGGGGATGGTACAACCGAGGAGATCGACGTGATGAGTCGCGCGGGCGATACGACACTGGGGACCGCCGAAACGATTCACGAGGGCGATATGAGCCAGGAGGATCTGGGGGAGACCGCCGCAATGATTTGCGCAGCAGGTATGAGAGAGGGGGACATGACGCTTTTGCTGAACCATATCCGAAGTCCCCTTACCCCAGAGCAGCAAGAGGATCGACCTCCAGAGGTGTAGACGACAGGCCACCCACTCCCAGGAACTCTTGCGTCTACTGTAGAGGAGATAATCATATTAAGAGAGATTGTCCAGACCTCAAACGGGCAATAGATGAGGGACTTATCGTGCTTGATGACCGCAAGTACGTCAAGTGGGCAGATGATCTGGGAGATGTATCGATGTTCCCTATGATGAAGGAGAATGTCGAAGCAGGGAGAGTAAAGCCGAGTAAAGGAAAGGAGTCGGTCATGAGCCAGAGCATCAAGATAACCTTTGAGGGGGATATGGCGACCACGCCCATAAGGGTGGCAGCCACCAAGTCGGCGAGAGGGTCTACATCGAAGAAGACTGACACGGATTTCGTGATGGCGGAGAAGGATGGACAACGGATCGATGAAGAGGAGGTTATTCTTTCGCCGCGAAAGCGGGGAGTGAAGAAGTTCCTGATAAAGAGTTCACTGGACGAGATTGACACGGTCGAGCCACTGAGGCGGGCCCTTCGGCAGCCCATGCAGTACTCTATTCTGGAAGACCTGGCGGCATCGAAGCCGGCACGCGATGAGTTACTGATGATTACGCGGAAGACTCGCATACCTCTATCGGAGGAGGCTCAGGGGGCCCCTAAGGCGGAAGCTCCTACCGTAGCAGTAACGGGGACGACTGCCAGAGCGGATCGTATGGCGACAGTCCTTCTTGATTGGATGGAAGGTGTGCCTCCAGACAAGTTTTACATACTTGGTAGTGGGTCCGTGGAGACGATCATAAGCGATGGAGCGGTACTAGATGCTGTGATCGATAACGGCAGTGAGGCTGTCATTATAGACAAGGATCTGGCAGTACAGGTTGGACTGGGCCTCGATAGGTCATACCTATTCGAGATAAAAACTGCTGATGGGAGAAAGCAACAGATCACTAGGGTTTGTCACAAGGCAGCCATAGAGGTCCAAGGGGGACGAGTGACCCTGCCTGTCTTTGCAGTCAAGAACTGCAGCTCTGATCTGCTCTTGGGACGAACGTGGCTGAGCCACATGCATGCGGTGATGATAGAGCGACCGGATCGGAGCCAGACATTGTCCATTAAGAAGCTCGATGGGACGCGGGTTATGATTGAGACGGTGGAGCCTCGGGACCCGAGGAACAGAGCAGCTCTCGCAGTGGGAGCAAGACCCAGTGATCAGATTAAGTCATTACCTATCTCTGGCCGCGCGGTGCGATTTTGTGAGAAGAAGTATGGACCACTGCTCACAGAGGAAGAAGGTCGAATCGTGGAAGTGGAAGATTTGGGGAGTTGGCTGATAGTAGACGGCAACTCGAACCCAAAGGAGACAGATGAAGAATTTGGCGGGGTGGTATCTGTGTCTTTTTTAAGGGCACGGCCCCCTATGGGGGGCTACCCAAGCGACACAAGCGAGTAGCTCAAAAAGTTAAGCCAGCGGCGGTGGGCCGCGAGCGATCTGCACTGGAAGGGATATCGGAAGAAGAGATCGCCAAGGAAATCAAAGTAAGAAGGAAAAAGGAGCCGCACTGTCTAACGGAAGAGAGAATAGCAGGGATGGACATCGGAGATGGAAATCTAACCCCACAGGAGCGAGAACGTGTGATAGAAATCCTGAAGACATGTGATAAGGCTATAGCTTTCAGTGACGCGGAGCGCGGTAGGGTTGATCCTCGATACGCTAAGCCAGCAAGGATTTACACGATTGCACATGTTCCTTGGAATGACGCAGGATGGAAATACGCCCAGAAGGAGAAGGAAGAAGTTATCGCTTTCCTGAAGGAAAAGATGGTTTCCCATGTTGCGGAACCGTCTGATAGCGCTTATGCTAATCGATGGTTCTTCCTACGAAAGCCAAATGGCAAGATCCGATGGATCTAGGACCTTCAGAAGGTCAATGTGGTGACGATACGAGACGTGGGCTCCGTGCCACACGCCGATTTACTGGCTGAAGGCGCCGTGGGCAGGTCGATTTATTCGGTCTGTAATCTGTTCTCTGGGTATGATGAGGTACAGCTTGATCCTAGGGACAGGCACCTCACGGCTATGCACATGTCATTGGGGCTGATACAGATGATGGTCGTTCCTATGGGTTGGACTAATGGGGTAGCCATTTTTCAGAGAGCCATGGTAGCCGTCCTCAAGGACTTCATCCCTGATAAGGTTGAAGTTTTTCTGGATGATTTTTCTATTAAGGGGCCAGTAAAGAAGGATGAGACCGAGGTTGTACCAGGAGTTAGAAGATTCATCGAGCAGCACCTAACGGATATTTGTGCGGTACTCGAGCAGCTGGACGATGCGAATTTAAAGGTCAGCGAAACAAAGAGTCGATGGGCCGTCTCGACTATTAAGATCTTCGGCTTTATCTGTGACTCGAGAGGACGCCGAGCAGATCCAGCGAAGTTAGACAAACTCCTGAACTAGTCATCACTGTTACATAGTCCAACCGAGGTTCGGCAGTTTCTGGGAGTGGTCGGTTACTGGCGTATATTCATACAAGGGTATGCGGAGAAGGCTGAGTCATTGAGGTTACTCCTTCGAAAAACTGGAAAATTCTACTGGGATTCCTCGCAGGAACTCGCTATGCAAGAGCTTAAAGACGAATTTAAGGAGGGAGGACTCGTACTGGGCGTGCCATTCTTTGACGATGAAACCGAGAGACCCTTCATAGTATCCACAGATGCGGGACCTTGTTCGGTTAGAGGGCTGCTGTCTCAGAAAGACGCTAACGGAAAGGAAAGGTCATTGAGATTTGAGAGTAGGACACTTAATACGGCAGAGCGAAACTACAGTCAATTCAAGAAGGAAGTGTTAGCTGTTCTGCGGTGTCTACACACGTTCAGACACTATATCTACGGACGACGGTTCATCTTAAGAGTAGATCCCACCGCAGTTGCCTCAGTCCTCCAGAAGGACTTTAGTTTGACGAACCCGACCATCGCTCGATGGTTAATACGGATTAGGCTATATGATTACACAATTGAGAGGATATCTGACACTAAAAATGCCGTGGCAGATGGGCTTTCGCGCATCCCTCTTGAGGTCGAGCGCCCAATAGTAGCTGGAGCCCTGACAATGGCGGAACCGAGACGGGCCGAGCGATTTCTGGTTAACCTTTACGAGGGCAAATACCGAACGATCGGGCTACATTTGTCAGGAGAGGAGAGTCCAGAATCAGATATCTGGAGACAAGCGGCGCAGTACTACCTTAGAGTCGGCCATCTATTTCGGAGGCCGGTCGGCTCGGGGATGCCCTTACGAGTGGTCTGTGATCCTGAGGAAAGACAGACGATAGTTGTGGAGCTTCACGACGGGGTAGTCGGAGGACACAGGGGAGTCAAGGGGACCTACGAAAAGGTACACAGGTTGTACTGGTGGGAAGGACAGTATAAGGACGTCGAGAGGTACTGTATGACCTGCGAGGAGTGCCAGAAGAGAGCTCTTGTGAAATACAAAGAGCCTCTCCATCCATCCTATCCCATCAGACCGGGAGAGAAGGTACACATCGATCTGGTGAAGATGCCGAAAGGAGTAGGCAATCTGAACTACGTCGTGAACATACGAGACGACTTCACTGGATTCGTGGACGGTAGACCTATCAAGAGTAAGACGGCAAACGAAGTGAAGAACTTCGTCCTGGAGTACTTATCTAGGTATGGTTATGTCAGCAAGATAATGATGGACAGACGGGGGGAATTTCTAGCTGACGAGGTCCAAAGTGTGTTCAAGAGAGCCGGGGCGAGAGTTTCGATAGCCACCGCCTATCACCCACAGTCGAACTCCCCAATAGAGAGGGGACACCAGACTCTAATAGCGTCACTGTCCAAGTGGTGCAAGGGTAAGGACAGTGATTGGCCACGATATTTTCGATACGCAATATGGGCGGACAACGTCACAGTCCGGGCTAGTACCGGATACCCACCGTACACCTTGTGGTTTGGGCGACATTGTCCGCTCCCCATAGAGTTTCAAGTCGACAGCTGGACAACCGTCGACTGGGCGGAGGAGATGTCCAGAGAGGAACTCATAGCTGCCCGAACAAGACAGATAGCCTACGGTTTGGAAGATAACCTTATGACAGCGGCAGATCGTCTGGCAGTGGTAAGGGGCAAAGGTAAAGAGAGATGGGATAAGAACGTGCGGATCAGGAAAGAGAGGGTGAGCGTAGGAGATATGGTCCTTCTCTATGACGCAGCACTGGAGAGGACCTGGACTGGAAAACTCGCCAATAGGTGGATGGAACCTTACAGAGTGGTTGAGGCACTCGACTGGGGTGCATATATGATAGCGGAATTAGACGGATCCAAGTGGAAGGACCCAGTGGCGGGTGCTAGGTTATAGCTGTTTAGACCCAGGCCTGCACCCACCTTATCGCTGACAGGCCCAAAAGGGAAAGGGAAGGCCAAAATGGAGGATCGAGCCCCCTCGAGGCGATATGAGCCGGGAGAGAGTTCCAAGAAGAGGAAAAGGGTGGAGAAAAGAAAGCTCAAAGGGTTGGCGATGGGAAAGAGGAAGAAATGGTTATTCGTGCTTAGGAGAGCCAGACAGAGAGTTCGTATTAGACAAGTTGACGAGTCGGCACCTATCACGGACCGACGTCAGAAGAGAGAGAGAATCCTTTCCAGACCAAATTTTCGAAGAAAAAGGGGAGTCAAGAAGCGTTTTCTTAGTCCCAAACTCATAATGAACTGAAACATAAGACAATCAAACGCCGACGTGGGCGTCCTTTATAGGCAATCACGCTGACGCTCGTCCGCTTCGTTTGACGTAAGTGGATAGGGCTCGACGAGGGCGTCGAGAAGTGGTCCGGGCTAACTGTCAGGCGGCCACAAGCAGTGCGCCGCCTAAAATCTGCAGCTTTGGGACTTGGGCTCAGGGACAAGTTCGTGTTTTGACGGAACTCTGGTATGACCAGGCAGCAAAAATTAGGGGAACTCAGGGGACCCCTGATTTTGGGCGCACTGAACCTTACGAGTAACCCTCAGAGATGGCAAAATGGGTAGCCGCTTCCGGCATATCTAGGGACCGTCATTTCAGCCCGATCCGAGGCTAGGCCTCGAATGGCCGGCCGCAAGGGGACATCGCGGGGACTAACCCCGCTGCAAAAAAAATTTGCAGCATACGACCGCGGCCGAAATGAGGCCTCAAATTTTTGTCTATTTTAGTACCCTAATTAAAGATGGGGAAAAGGGATTAAGACCAGTAGGGGGGGAGAAAAAAACATAATATCCCTTAATTTCTTTATTTTTTACAGCATTTAATTCAAGGGGGTTTACCCTTGTTATTTTATGATTCCCAACAATGAAATTAAAAAACATAGAAAGAGATTAAAAATGTTAAAAGAGAAAAGAAACAAAAGGAAATCGACCATTTATTTAAACTTTCTCGGAATTTAATTTTGGGAAACTTACGATTGATTTACTATTTCCGACATTAGAATTAAGGAAAGGGAAGAATGATGAAAAACGATGAAGGGGACGGGAACCCATGATTATTGGGAGAATGGCCTAATTTCGCCTCGATTACCCGCCATCAGCCCTGGCCCCGAATTGAATATTTTTCCCGGATTTTAACAGTTTTCACTACTGCCGATGGTCGAGGTTCCCTGCGTCACTTTCGCTGGTTTGCTTGATTACTAACATTACCGCAGTTGGGATGTTCTGAGAACGGGAGTCGCATGGACAGGTGCCACCTTGTGTTTGGTTCGGTACGGGTACGAGGGTTGTTCCAGGTTTGGAACCTTCACAGCAGTTTGTTTTCAG